TGGAGGTAAGAGAGGAGTTCGTTTTGGGTGGTGCATTGAGACTCCATTCGAGCTGGGTGGTCCAGGGAGAGAGGGTGGTGATTGGCGGGTGAAGGCGGCAGTTGGGGAGGGGCTCTGGTTTTGTTTGTGAAGGAAGGAAAGTTGGGGGAGACGGGTGGACTGGGGGAAGAAAGGTGAGAGTGGGTCCCACAGTTTTTTAGAAAATATTTTAATGATTTAATTTTTTTTTTAATATTAATTAACTTTTTAATCCAATTGGCCAAGGGAGTGGGCCCCACCTCAACCCAATTTAACAAAGAAATTAATAGAAAAAAATAAAGGAGATCTGACATTACAACAAATTCGTAAGATGAGGTATGATATTTGAATTTTTTTTTTTTTGAATAAACGATATTGTTGCAATGTGCTAGCAATAATGTGATTCAAATTCATCTTCGACGAGAATCAAATCTAAGACCTCTCATTTGCAAGTGAAGAGAAATATCACTAGACCATAATACTAAGTGGCTGTAATTTTAAAACATGAGATATAAGATTGTGGTTCGACCTATAATTAAAATAGTTTTGTGTAATTACCATAAAACAGTGATTTCAATTGTTAAAGATTTGAAAATTGTAAATGACTCGATCTCTTTTTGAAAATTACATAAAGTCTTGACAAGTTAAATCACGTGGGTCTCACATGACCATGAATATAGGCCGGGCATTGTTCCGGTTGGATTGGTTTCACACAAAAATTGCGATCAAACCAATGACATTATACTAGTTTGGTTCCGTCCGTATTTAACAAAAATCCATTTAGAAATCAAATTAAGGTTCAGCCGTTTGATTCGAATGGTGTGGGCGTAAATCCATTAATTTTTCTTTTGCCTTTTTTTACAATATTGTTAGCCAAAATCCAACATGTCGTCAATCTTCAAAATTTCACTAACATTAAATTCAACATTCTTATCTGGTTATCAACCAATAAAAAGACTACACACTTCTTCAACATTTTTATTTGGTTGTTAACCAGTAAGAGGATACATCTAAAATAAAAACTCAAAAATTTATTATACGATTCCATTCGATTTTCAACCATTTGATTATTCTTAAGAAACACTTAATTGTACCAATGGCTTCTGAATGTTACTTCTAGTTTAATTTTGGTCTCTAAACTCTCATATTAGTTTTTTTAGTTTTCAAACTCTACAATGTGTTGTACTATTGGTCATTTTCATTAACGCCATCTTTTTTCTCTTTTTTTATTTAAATTTAGGAGTATATTAGGAACTTTATCCCACATCACTAAAAATGAAAAAAAAAATCTAATAAACCAGAATTTATTAGATTTTATTTTTTTGTGTAAGAAAATTGAATACATAACCATTTTCTCCGTAGCTTAATATGATTTGTTAGTTATTTAAGTTCAACCATAGTTCGATCTCCTTTGAAATTGCATTGCCTAATATTTACATGTTAAAGTCCAACCATTTTCATTTTGTATTTTTATAGTTCAAATTTCATTTGTTTGAAGTTTTAGATATTAACTAGATAGTGATATCCGTGCGTTGTTGCGGGATTATAAATTAGATGGATAATTATATTTTTAACATTGCAGTATATAAATTTTAATTAATAACTGTGTGCAAAGAAGCAACTTGTCATGATATAGTGAATATTTGCTAAACTATGCCATGAGATCGTCTTACGGGGGATGAAAAGAAATTTATGCAAACAATTAGAAATCATATAGCTGTAAATGCCAAGTCATGTGATGGTTAAAAATTATGTAAATTGTTTTATGTATCAAGAAATGAAAAGCATATGTAAAGTGAATAGTTACTTGAGCTGAGAGTTTAGATAATGATTTTAAGAGTGGCAAAAGTTTTGTTGGATTGTGCTGGTTGCAAAACATGTCTTCTTTTTGCACACAGAGAAGTTTCAAATGTATGTTAAGATTATTAGGCTAATTCAAATTTATAACATTTGAGGCAGAAAATTAGAAATTGAAATAGATATTCACTTGTTAACACTCGAAAAACTGCAAGCCAGTGGCTCCAAGATAAAAAAAAACTACATAAACCCAAATCAACTAAGTTCCAAAACAACTAAATATGCAAACAACATAATAGTTTGTGTAGTGATCTAGTTTTTTATTTTGTAATTAAATTTAATCTCAAATTTTGGCCCAACAATGGAACCATCAGAGATTGTGCAACAATAGTTTAGTAAACACCATAAGAGAATGGGGATAAATTGAATACTAATACATACACATCTATCTGTATAGTAAAACTAAAAGAAACTAAATGTGACGACTCGTCCCAAAGTATTATATATATTTCCTCCCTTAAGGTGTAAAGTGACAATATTGCCCTCGTTGGCTTAGTGACGTGGATGTACATATACAGTTTTAAATCAATTTTCTCGCTAACGTAATTAAATCGTACTTGACATCACGAGCGCGTTGACGCGAGTTAGGGCTGAATAATGGGTAGGATTATATTTTAGGGTTGACTATACTTTGTCCACTAATCACCTTAACTCCTACTTTATGGGGCCCAATCAGACTTTGGGTTTGTTTTATTTTTCTTTTGGGCCAACTGAAACCTAACTCTCTCCTTCTTTCTCATGGCAACCCAATCAGAGCTTATTATCATTTTCTTCGGGCCAATCCCGTACACACACACACACACATGTACGTATACCCTTACCCTCTCACCTCTTCTCGATCATTCTTATTTGTCTGTACACCCAAGAGCACACCCACACTCAAACTATACCAAAACTTCACGGATCGAACTTGAGATTTCCACTTTCACACTTATCTCGAGCTTTAGAATCTCATGATACCATTCGTTAGATGAGTTGACATGTTTTAACTCGAGGAGCCATAACCTCCGTCGAGGTGTCTTTTTGCTCCGACGTGATCGTGACCTTTTCCCAAGATTTTAAGGCTCAAGGAGGTTCCTAATCGACTCTATAGGGACCTTAGGCTAGTTTTGGAGTAGTTGGATGTCGGGACACGCAAGTTCAAAGGATTCCAGTTGTGGTCGGTTTTTCCGACCTTTTTTCGTTGGGTTTTGGACTCTTAATAGGTACGATCGTGTTCTACTCTTCAAGACCTTCAAATCCATATAAATTTCATAGATTTTGGTTGAGAATTGAAATAGATATTAAGTTTTAAATTTTTTCCAAAAACCGGCAAGTACAGACAGTGATGCATGGTGGTTCCGGTGAAGTCCACAAGAGAAGAATGAGAATATTCCGTTAACTGTAACGGAATATTCTAACGGCGTCAAGTAACACCGTTAGTCTTTAACGGAATATTCTGCTATTTTAACAAATATTCCTTAACGCTATTAGGGATTCCTTCAGTGTGCCAGGTATGTGCTTGCGTGTGGCCGTGCCTTGGTCGGGGCGTGAGGTGCTTGTGACTTCAAAAAAATTTCTAAAAATATGGGGGTGTTCGTGTTGTCGAGTAGATCATGTTGGTATATTCAAACACCCCATTTGAGTAACGTATGAGGAATGAATCCTAGGTTTTGTTCATGTGCTATCGAATTAAAGTTAATTAGTTATTTTGCATATAGGTGAGACGTACCTTGAAGACGAGCGTGGACAAGCAAAGCTAGGGGGCTATGATCCTGCTACCTATCAGTGAGTGGGCATTTGCTTTATATATATATGTTATGGTTTCCAGAACGTTTTTCTTAAATGATGTATGCCTTGAATGCCATGTCGTAAATGAGTTGCATTTTGAGTATTGCATTGTTATACCTGCGAATTAAATTGTGTGATGCTACATAGACTCATGTAAGCTTCAGGTGAGTATGATGTGATTGAATGGATTGTATTACATTGGTATGCATATATTTATTTAGAGCTCATCAGGGCTGTACCCGGGTATATGCTCCCTCTTGGGCTAGGGCCAACCTTCACATGATCGTTCACCTCCCACACCGCATGCTCACCTTGGATTCAAGTTTGGTGCCAACATGTCGTACATACCACAATAAGTGGTTCCGACTTGTAGATGACCCGCAATTTATCGCACAGCCTTCACGTGATCGTAGCACTTAAGCGTACATATTTATACCCAGCCTGTTGTACAGGTCACATAGGTAATCTCCAACTCATGTGCTAGCCTTGGCTAATGAGCTATAGTTCCAGTTATGCAGGTCACATTAGGTGACTCTAGCTGGCATGTTATTTTATATTGATTCTACACATGGCTTACATGATTTAGAGCTGAAATGTTATGACATGGCGTATTTTGGGTTTCACTGCCCTTGTGCATTGTTATATATATATATATATTCAGTATTATTCTCTGGAAACTATACGGGTTTTACAGTGATGGGTTACTATGTTCAGAAAAGATAAATGCGTTTCAAACGCTTTGTTTTTGCCCACTCATCCTTCTGTTTTGCACCCCTCCAGGTTCTAGGTAGTTGATCATCTTTGGTGGCTCATGAGGACTTCCCGGCGGTTCTAACATTTCCATAAATAACTGTGGGGATTTTCTCCCTGGTTTGTATAATTAGTACTTGTTCAGTTTGACTGCACTTGTGATACCTATACTCTAAAATGTTTGTAGCTTGACTGGGTTACTTCCTCACACTTAGTATTATCTTTAGTATAGCTAAGTTTTAGTTGGTTTTTATTTATTCGCATTTTCTTATTATCGTATGCACTTCTCTTGCACACTTGGCTATATCACCCTTACATGACGGCCAACACGTCTCAACTTTGGTCGGGGTGTGTCACTAAACATGTAACATAATTTCTTACATACGTAAAGAAATTAAACCCTAATATCTTAGTAGAAAACAATTTCTTACGTGTTTCAATATATCCAGAAAATGGTTCTTACATGTTTCAATATATCTAGAAAAATGATTTTTTTTCCTTACAAATATGACATGGACACCTGCAACTCCCCTATAGAAATAAAAAAACAACTTGAAAAATTAAAGGGAAATGATTAGACCCAATACTCTCTGATGAATTCCAGCAAATTGAATTGGGGTTCAGATAAATTGGCAGGAATAAAAATAATACCTTCAAATACATGAACAAAAGATATTAGAACAACAAAAAAATCATGAGAATTCAACTTCGCATTAAACTTTGGATCCCAAAACAAAATGAATTATCCCTTCTCTATTTCATTAGCTAGCCACCACTCTCAAAATTCCTCAATCCCTTATATCTCACAAAGATGAACACATGCATGTCCATTTCAGCTCTTAAAACCGAAAGTGATGTTAGGGTTTCTTAGTTTCTTAACCAAATCCACCAATTTGAATCAAATCTCTGCAACACATATGTGCAGCTATCAATGGTTCTTCTTTCGCGTCTTCTTTAGAAGAATAAAACCAACTGTACAAAGGGTAAAATTGCTCCTCAATACCATTTGGCATTTGCATCCAAAATATTGAAGAAACGAACTTAATGATTATGCAATGCAAGTGTGATATGGTTGACTGGTGCTTGATGTGAAGGACATTCAACCATGTTTTAAGATGCAATTTGGACCAAGAAATGAGAATGACGAATAGATGCTATGATGAGCGAGATTATATAACTGCTGAAATTTTGGATTGAAGGAAATATAGTACTTACATAGAGAAAAAGGTTCACCTTGAACACTCCATGTGCAGTGAATGAGAAACTCACTAAGAAAGTTCCAAAGAAAAGATTAAATGGCATGAACTCAATGCTTTTTGTTTTGATAACCAAATTCTAAAAAAAAAAAAAAATGGCATGAGTGAGAACAAATTCAACCATCTAAGAACAATCTAAATGAGGATCATTCGACACGAAGTTATGATGACAATCAATGGCAAACATACATGAAAATTAGTGAAGCAGTACTCAAGTATCCAACGAATAATTACCTCCCATGGTAGTCCAAAAACTTAGGCTGACAATGACAATGGACACCAATAGAACAAAAACTGCAATTAATTAACAATGTCAACATCCTTATCTGCAATAAACATTTTAAAGAACAACAAATAGTCAATAATGCAGAGTTGTAAAAGGTACCTTAATAAGAAGAGATGCATGTAGATTACCTTAAGAGCTCTTTTAGAGTAAGAAATGAAAATGCTCAAGTAGGCTAATTGGAAAGCAGTCCAACTGAATTGATTGTAGTCCTAGTATAATGCTACTCTTCACTATAGGCATTCCATACTAGCAACATATCAAGCAATTCAAAAGTCCATATATGCAAGGCATTCAACAAAATTATTTTGTTGACTTGTCCATGACAAATTTGTTAAATGTTCACCTGGAATTAGAACATCAAAGATTCAACAATCAGCATGGAAGTGAAAAATATTGAATATTAATTCAGTCCAGGAACTAAAAATTTCATAAATGGCTCTTAAATATTGAACCCTAAAAATTCAAACATCAAAGATAACATATCTGAACAATGAAAGATCAAGTCAATTACGCACTCGAGGTTACTACAACATGACGCACAACCACTTTGCATCACTCATAGAGAAATACAAAATTTTAACAAAACCCCATTAGTCAAAATTGAAAATTTCATAAAAATCAAGAAAGAAACACAAATTTACTGATAAAATTCAAGAATTTTAGTCAATTACAAAACACAAAAATCCAAATTTCATAAGAAATCAAGAAAAAAATAATTAAAATTACTGGTAGAAATCAATAATTGTTTTTTTTTTCTTTTCTAAATATACCTTGTGAGAATTGCAGCACAACTTTGTGAGATAAAAAGGAGGCAACTTCGGAATCAGAAGTATCAACTTTGGCCATGACGAACTAATCCTTAGAACTTCAGAAACCCAAATAAAAAAAAATCAAATTTTCATTCTAGAGAAGTAAAATTATAGCAGAAATCAATTATATGTATCTACATAACTGTATACATAGATATACCTGTAGAAGAAACAAAGCAGATGATCGACTAAGAGGAGAAAGGTTGGTTTGAAGCTGCTATGAAAAAATTCATCAATGGGATCAAACTACCTTTCTAAAAATGAAACAGTCCTTACAAAATTCAAGGCTCGAAAATAAAATAAAATACAAATTCAAAAGAACTAAAAAATCCAACATTTCTTAAAAAAACTATTCAGTAAAGGACCCAAAAATCATGCCGTCAAACAAATATGAGAAAAAAAAAGAAGAAATAAGTTAAAGCTAAAAATTACTTACCCACAAACCCAAACCACATCCCTAAACATTACGCATCGCAAAACCCTAGAAATCACCAAAATTGAAAACCTGCGCCACTGGGATCGTTCACACGGTGAGGAACTCCAATCACTCTCACCGATATTCACACCAATCATGACTTTTATCTTTCATTGGAAAAAAAGATCAATATCATTAGTGTATTGTGTTATAGATATCCTCTACAGTTAAAAGTGCATAAACTATAACTAACTAATCATCAGATAAAACTGATTGAAATATGATTTTGAAGGAAGATAATAGGCATATTTTGGAGAACAAAGAGCTCCTAATTGGCAAACTAAATTATTTTATTATGATATTTTTGGTTGGTTAAATGCTAACATGTATGTAGTAGAATTAGCTACTTCAGCATTCTAGACCATATAGATTGAACGGAAGAAAGAGAGAAATAGAGAATTGCAAATAAAATTCTAGAGAGGGTGAAAGGACTCACTCTGAATTCAAAGCCGTTTGAAGAATTTTCTTCAAATCGGGACAGGATTTGTGTCAGGTCGTCATCGCTGACAAAGAGAGTACGAAATCTTCGATATTGAGACCTTACAAAATCTTGGCGTCGGGGACGTCATTGACAGAGTGCATCTCGACCTCGAATTGGAGCTAGTGACCACTAGAGAGTTCGATGTTCTATTTGGCCAAGAATTTGGAGCTTCAGAGAGAAAGATATGCAGGAAAGTTAAAGTAGATGGAGTTGACGAAGGGTAGCTAAATTAGAGTTGAACGATAATAGCAAATGGAGAACGAGGGGTTTCTAGGAGAGAGATTTCTAGTGATCGTGCTTTCTGGAAGCGACTGGAGATCGAAGAGCCTTTTCGTCCCCCTTCCCTCTCCAAGATGGCCAACACGTGCACAATAGGCGAATACTGCTTTGTTGGTTTACTCTTAATGAACAATGTTTTTGTGTTGGGGTTTAGTATAGGTATAATTTATAAATTTTCATTTGTTAGCGTCTTCTATTGTTTTTTTGAAGATATAAGTTGAAGTTCCTATTATACCTCTAGATTTAATGGGAAAAAGATAGCGTTAGAGAAAAAGACCAATGATGCAATGCAACACATTATTAAGTTTAAGGGCTAAAAAAACTAATTTGAGAGTCTAGAAACTAAAATTAAACTCGAAGTAAAATTTATGACTATTGTTACAATTAAGCTCCTAAAAAAATAATAATAAACCAGTCAGCGTGATTCGGTTCAGCCGGGTTGGTCCATACCAAATTGATGGACGGCCCCACTCTATGCAGTGGCAGGACGTTTAAGGCACTCAACCGATCACGTTCTTATCCAACGCCTGAAAAGAGATCACCGACCCAACACCAACGTGGTTATGTTTATACCAAGATTTAGTGGGCCCCACCAAAGTTCCCCCTCCTCATCTCTTTCAAGTTTCAAGTTTCAGGCCAACTCCGTGTGTGTTATGTTATATATACCTCCCTCCTTCAAACCAGGAGTAGGAGCGCAGAAGAAAATTCGCAAAATTTTACAAGATCAAAGTTAATTCGAGGAATTTCGACGATCACGATTGAATCAGAAAATGTCGTGGCAGGCGTACGTCGACGATCACTTGATGTGCGACATCGACGGCCACCATCTGACAGCCGCGGCCATCCTCGGCCACGACGGTAGTGTGTGGGCCCAGAGCTCCACCTTCCCCAAGGTTCTCTCTCATTCTTCAACTTTCTCTCTTTCCGATTACTCTTCATTGTCATTTTATTATTTGATCTGTGCTCTGTTTGTTTCCTCGGAAAACTTCAATTTTCTCGGAAATTGAAGTAATTGGATTGCAGATGCGGGACTTGTGAACCTAATGGATACTGATTTCAACATTTCAATTCAGATTCTGATAGGAATCGATTTTTGTTTTTTTTTTTTTGTTTTCTTAGTGATGATCGGTAGGGTTTGTGAATTGTGATTGATATTTTCTGTTTGGTTGCTGAGAAAATGTTATCCGTTGTGGTAGTTAGTGAGTGACGGAGACTAATATTGGTTTGCTTATTTTATTATTTATGTGCAGTTTAAGCCGGAAGAGATTACGGCGATAATGAAAGATTTTGATGAGCCAGGGTCTCTTGCCCCAACTGGATTACACCTTGGTGGGACAAAGTACATGGTTATTCAGGGCGAGGGTGGAGCTGTGATTCGTGGCAAGAAGGTTTGTTATTTTGCTCTTCTCCTTCATCATGCACTAATTGGTCATTGATGTCATTGCTTTGAATTCTTTTGGTGTAATTCGGGTTAGGTGTGTGTGTTTCGAATGAAAACAATGTTTTCGAGAAAATTCCTTTTCGAAAGTGTTTTTCTTGATTAGGGTTTCAGTCCATGACTAACACAATGTCTGCAAAAGGTTTTAGGTCTTTGTTTCCTAATAGTAATAATGATAATGAACAAGTAAACAATTTTGGGCAGAAATGAAATGACTAAGAAAATGCTCGTGTGTATATTATCCAATATAACTTCTTAAAAATATGACATCCTTGATCAATCAAGGCCTTAGAAGATAGCAATTGTGCATGAGACGAGAGTATATTGTTCGGTTTCTAATGGAACATTTACTAAATTATTCGCGATATAAGTAGAAGAATTTACATGAAAAACCCTACATTTTCAAGAATTCGCTTCTTTAGATTAGGCTTGCATTTCTCAAATGACAAGTGAAAAAGAAATGGGGTCATTTTATGTTCATGTGATGGATCTGGCGGTGAATTGTAAAGGAATTAATTCACTCATGAACAGCTTACTGTTGTTTTGCTCAATCCCATGGCTTCTTAATCTTCACATGTGAGCTTTTAGGCAGAGTAAAAAAAAAAAAAAAAAAAAAAAAAAAAAAAAAAAAAAAAACCCCAAACTCTAGCGTCATGGGTCTCAATTTGTGTATTTTAGATTATACAATTACATATCAAAAATCATGTTATAGATACTCGATGATATTTTTATATTATAATTGTTCCCCAAATGAGCCTAATTCTCAGGCTGGTTTGAGTTTGGATCTAGACTCCTGTAAAAGTAGTGGCTGAGCTTGAGTTTGCTAGCAGGCAAGACTCAATTTATGTTCTAATAATAGCCATTTGTAATTGAAGATGTGGACGGTTTATTTGATAGTTTATGAAAGAAAGGTTTTTTCTGGTCATTATTTGAGAATAGAGGATTATTAGCCTAAATTGCTCATAAGGGTTTGCAATGAAAGCTGTAAAGCAGTATACGTGCGCCCGTGTCATAAGTAGTGGTCCTCATGGTTGTTTCAGCTTTTTGACTTATAAAATTGTTCACCACCGATTCCATCTGTTGAAGTTTCTTCATGTTGCAGTCAATATTCTGCCTTCTCATCTGTTGCTAATTTTAGAGCTTTAGATAATGGTATGTCCTTAAAAGAATAATAATAGAGCTTCAAGAGTCCCACAGGTGGACCGCTTAAATATTCCTCTTTTGTGTATTCAGATTTCCTTTTGGGTTCTTTGTTATAAATTTTAATTAGTCCCTCTCGATAATAGTCTCACATAGCTAAAGTACGCAACCACATGGTTGTCTAATTGCATATGATTTATCTGCTGTAAAGTTTAGTACCAAACTCTTCCCAACAAGAGGATGCCCCTCATGATTATGGGGTCCATAACTTTGCGGAAGGAGCTACGTACACTTGCAACCACCGAAGCTAATTTAAACCGAATTGCCTTTTTCATGTGCCTTTATGATGTATTTCTTGCTGTCTATGCAAATTGTGTCTGGTCTATGTGTTAATGACATGCTGGATTTGATTTCCTCTGCAGGGCTCTGGTGGCGTAACTGTGAAGAAAACCGGCCAAGCTCTGGTTTTCGGTATATACGAGGAGCCCTTGACTCCAGGACAATGTAATATGATTGTGGAGAGGTTGGGAGACTACCTGATTGATCAAGGCCTATAACTCATATCACCGTCATGATTTTCATACACTGAAGTTGTCTTTTTCGACTTGCATATACTTGCTGGTTATATGGTTTGAACTGGCACTGTTGGTGGTGTTACTGAAAATAACCGTGCGCAGACGGATGCATTGCCTTTTGGTGTTCAAGGATTTGTTCATTTCCCCGATTTTTCGTGTGTTTCTGAATGTGTGTATTTATTCGCTCAGCTCATTGTTTGCTCCTAAGTTCTGAGTATCCTTGGATTTCACCTTATTACGATGTGGTAAAAATTATTTGTTCAATTCCGAAGAAGAAATGTTGTTGTATAATATATCGATGGCTGAAAATCTAGTGTATTACAACACTGTAAACCGTAACCAACTATTGGGTGGAAGTTGGACAAAAACGAGCCTTCCATGGCTGGAGAATAACTTGTCAATGCCGAACTCCTCTTGGCAGGCCCAGTGCTCCAAGTGCTCGACAAACGGCCGCAATGAATTTATACGGTAGTTGATCTATATGTTTGATCTATGTCATGCATTGCCGAGTCTAATAGGGTAAGTTTGTAACTAAACACGGTTTTAAAGTGATTGGTTGTATGAACGGTTGAGTTTGGTCCTGAACTCACAGGGCGCACCTTATCCACCATGGGAAGGTAGCAAATAACAAATAAGAGAAAAGAAAAAAAAAATTAAAGCTAGTTTATGGTAAAACTACTACTTTCATTATGATTCGGATTGGTCGTAAATAACAATCAGTATAGCTTATCCAATTAAGATTTTGATGAATTTTAAAAGATTTTAGAAATATAGGAGTATTGAAATAAGATTTTAAATGAATCTGCCAAACTCTAGTGGTATTCAATCTTGATTTCAAAAAGCATGTCCAAATCTGGTGGTATTCAATCTCGAATTTTTTAAAATGTTTCAGAATCTGGTTGTATTCAAAATTCAATGAATTTGTAGGAATTTAGGAGTTGAAGGGTTCTGGTGGATTCTAGAGTGGAAAATATAAATACCAAAAGCCCTCACAAATCATGCCTTTACCCTTAAGATTTCTTCGTGATTCCTCCCTCTACAGAATATGAGCATACCTGGATATGAACGAAATCTTCTTCTAAGCAAACATGTAAAGGTAACACGCCAAGAAATTTACAAAATTCTTTTTCAATTTTTTTGTCTTCTCTATATGGCCAAATCTTTATCTCATTTCTCTTTAAGAAAGACAACCAGTAATCAACAATTTTCTTGTCTTCTCATGGTCAATTTTGTTTATTATTTGTTTTAGGGAACCTTGAAATCTCGATTCAACTTAATTGAATTCTAAGCATCAATTTCTTTGGGTGTTCTTTTTTTTTTTTTTTTTTTTGTTCAATTTCCTTTCTTGATCTTGATATCTCATAATCACCCCATATATGTTGTACTTGCCAACACCACTCCCCTTCATCACCGTAGAAATCTTCTTTTTTTGGTATCCTCGTTGTGACTTTTGGCATCTTCTGTGAATGCTATAAAGCATAACAAAATTCATATAAAATTCCTTTTAAATCCACGTGATGTCTATGTGAATCCAATAAAATTCATGAGTCTATATGAATCTATTAAAATTCATAGACTCCATACGAGTCATAATTTCATTAGAATTCATCAAATTCTCAATTGAATACTATCACCTCTAAAGTTGACTACTTCTCCCAAGTTCTTAAAATATGATATTGATGGGACGTTGAAGGTACAAAATATGGGTAAAGGGGGAGGGAGGTAATGGTTGGGTAGGCCACGGCTGCAAGGAAGTACTAATTGTGAATTGATGTGAGAAGGTTCGTTTGCCCATCAAGTCGAATCTATAATTCTTCTATACTATATATCAAAATAAAAATGGCTTTTGGCATCATAGAATGTTACTCATTGTCTTCATACGGAAATCTTACAAGGATTTAATTTCTCACGTGCACACACAACACACGAATGTGAACTCATCATTAGTACAAATATAAACTTGTTGAGGGCAGCTGTAGGAAATTGTCGAGTAGTGTTGAAGACTATCAAATATAGGGATCAAATACAAATATACATAGAGATCTAAAGCTGTTGAGATCATCAGCAACTCATGATCTCATGCTGGCTACACCACTAAACACACCCCATGTTAATGTGAGATAACCATACACCCCAATAATCATTTTCTTCAAGCTCTCAATATTACACTACTCTCACCCTCCATTGTAAAATAATCTAAACCATAACCACTAAATGTAAACAATGCCACCCCAACTATAATTTTCAGAGAAAACAAGAAGGGGGTTATACTTAGGGTATAACAATATTAAATTATTTTATTACGTGTTATAACATGAATGAATTTTACATATTAACTTAAAATTAAGGGAGACTTTGGATATGGTCCCTAGCCACTAACATTCTTTGACTAAAACCTTAATTGTATTCAATTTTTTTTTTTTTATCAAAGTCCCTTGACTTTGTACACCTCATTATTGCTATTGATATGTATCTCATATGTTTGATATTAATTACTTGACATATTATGGGATTTAAAATCACATATTATATGGCATATAAATTAAAAACAATTACTCAAAAATTTTGATTGAATAAATAGATAAAAAAAAAAGGTAACAGTATAACTTTGAAATAATAAATGTCCACTGAATGTACTCATAGTGTTCAAAAAAATTAAAAAAAGGGGTACATTTTATTATAGAATATGTATACATTATAAATAAAAAATAAATTGATTTTACATTAAAAAATGGATATATTTTACATAAAAAAAAATGGTACATTTACAACAAAAAAAAGGGTGTATTTTACATATAAAAAGTGGTACATTTATAAAGATAAATGGGTGCATTATAAATTAAATTATGAGTATAAATAAAAATTTTTAAAATATGGGCACAAAATGAAATTAATATATGGGTACAAACTAAAACTAAAAAGTCGACAAAAAAAAAAAAACTAAAACTAAAAAGAAAATTGGTACAAGTTAAAAAATGGTTGCAAATTAAAAATGGTAAAAACAAAAATAGAAATATATGATACAAAGTTTAAACATAAATATAAATATACCAAATATAATGTGTGACATCCCGTCCCGGGATTATTAAAACGCACGTGTGAAATTACATTATTGCCCCTAGTTCGTTTTTGTCACGTTTTTGGTTGTTTTGTGTGGTGTGGCTTGTGTTGGACCACACACACACACTATCACACTCTCCCTCTCCCTCTGTCTCTGTCCCGTGTCTCTCTCTCTCTCTCCCTTCCCGTTCACCTTAATACGTACGGACAAACCCACAACCCACCAAATCCTCACAGATCGAAGAAACTAAGGACATCTTCGAACTCGTGAAGCTCGTGCGAGTGCAACCATACCATTTTCAGGTAGGAACTCTAACGTTTTCACGTCGATTCGACAATGGCAGTTTTGAGCACTATTCATGCAAACTTAATCTAGCATGTTTTTGGATTTTTGAAGCTCACAGGTGTCTTAGTGAGGTCCCAAGGAGCCTCGGAGTGCTTCGTTGGACGAATTTGGACGTCGGGATCGTCCTGCTCGAAGTTGGCCGGTTTTGATTGTTTGCACAGGTAAGATCGCGTAAGTTTTAGCCCTTGAAACTTGTTGGGACATGTTCTACTAGTTTAGGGCTTCATTTTGGCGTTAAAATCATGAAAAACGGTTGAGAAATGTGCGAGAAAACTCTAGTTGCAGGTTTTCCCAGTTTCCGGCGCCGGCGACGTCGTCGGAGTTTGAATGAAGAAGGTGACGGAATATTCCGTCAATTCTGACGGAATATTCCTGACGCCGTTAACGGAATATTCCTAACGGCGTTAGTTGACGCCGTCAGTGTGCGCCGCATGTGCCTGCGCGTGGGGGCGCGTGCGGCGGAGGAAAATTTTTCTAAAAATATGGTTGTGATCCTGAGGTTGTGTAGAGCACGTTGGTATATTCATTTGTCCATTTTGAGCAATGTATGAGAAGTTATTACGAGAAATTGGTTATGTGCTTTAAAGTTAACGTTTTTATAGCTATTTCGCATATAGGTGACACGTACCCCGAGGACGAGCGTGCACACGCGAGGCAGGGGGTCTACGACCCTTCCACATACCAGTGAGTGGGCTTTTGTTTTCCGTATATACCTATATACATTTATATTCCCAGAAATTGTTTGAAAAGGGGTTATTTACGTTATGCCATGCACTTTATTATTATCGTTTATGCATAACGGCATGCATTAGTAGAGGCTTACATATACATATGCATATTGGGTGCAGTGGACGCACAGGTAAGTGCCAGGTAAGCGTTATTCACGTTTATGTTTCAGTAGTGGTTTGAGATAGTTAGAGAGCTCATAACCTGCACCCCCGGTGTTAGTGCTCCCGCCCGTGGCCAGGGCACAGTCCTTCACGTGATGTTCACCTCCCGCACCTTATGCTCACCTTGGACTCAAGGTAGGTGCACATGCCTGTCGTACAGACCACTTTAGGTGGTTCCGACTCGTAGGTGACCCACGATTATTCGCCCAGTCTTCACGTGATCGTAGCACTTATTTACACCCAGGCCTGTCGTACAGACCACTTTAGGTGGTTCCGACTCGTGGGCAGGTTTAGATATTGAGATTGAGATTTGAGCTCTAGATGCAGCCGTACAGGTCACGTTAGGTGACTCCGGCTGCCAGATTACATGATATTGATTTGATTTATACCTGGGCACTTGCATATCATTATGAGATTTCGGCATGGCATATTATTTGAGCATGTTTGGCATATGTATTATGTGTTTATATTTTCTGGGAAGTATACAGGTTTTACGGTGAGGGGTTAGAAAGTATTTTATAAATGGTTTTCGAAAGCTTTGTTTTTGCCCACTCACACTTTTGTTTTGCGCCCCTCCAGGTTCTAGTTGAGTAGCAGTTCCGATGGTTTCCCAGAGGGCTTGTTCGGCACTTCTGACAGACACCTATCATTGTAGGGTCACCTTCGGGTGAACTATTGTCGCAATTTCTTTTGGACTGCTGTAGACCTGCTCTGAATTGTGTTTCACTTACGCTAGCACTTATTTAGTACTTTATATGCTAGTTTTTAATTTATTCGTACTTTTATATTACTACTTTATTGGCTTCCGCACGTGCACATGGCTACGTCACCTTCGTGTGACGGCCAGCACGCTCCGATCACGGTCGGGGTGTGTCATAATGTTTCTAACACTAAATGAATATGTATTAAAAATAAAATTTAATTATGTTGGTATGTAAATAATTTATAACTGAAATAATGACATTCATTAAAAACTAGGGACCTTGATCAAAAAGTAAAAAGAAATATGATTTTAATCAATGCAATAGAAGAAATAGGAATGAGAACCTAATTAATTTCTCCTAAATTTAAACTAGTAAAAGAAAACAAATTAACAAAGAATTGTCAACGAATTTATATGAGAACCCTCTAATTATTAACTATATATTTGGGTGTCTCTATGATCATGAACAACAACAAAATCTCATTTGTTATAAATATGTAAAAGTTAGAGAGATAATATTTACTAGTGACTGGAGCAAAGTAGGTGTAAAATATCACACTATAACTATAACACAAGGGAATGAGTAATAAAAGTAGGAGGAATAGATACTGATGTTATTTATCTTTCATTTCTTTCTCTCTTCTATATCTGTTGTGCTCTATTTATAGAGCAACTCCGTACTATTACATGTTGAAAATTTACAACACACCTTTTGAAAAATGATCTCCTTCATTTCCAAGTCCACATATCAACACTGCCAATGTTTTCATTCATCTGCCAATGTTGCAAATCCAATCTATGTGGGTATTGAAAAAATCTACCAAAGTTTTCAATATTACCGTGGACATTCATTAACCCACTAGCATATTCAACATCATTAGGTTTTTGACTCCATTATGATTTTTTTTTTTTTTGGTAAAAACTCCATTATGATTCTTGATAAGGAAGTAGGTTAAGGTCATATGTTGGAGCAAGTCCATCCCTATCCAAACTATATACGTGTCGTAATGTTGGTACATCTAGAACAACCTTCATTTTTGACCCACCCTTAGAAGTTAGAACCAATGAGAAAATTAGACACTCTGGTCCAATGCATGGTGACTCAGTAACGTACGTGGGTGGGTGGGTAGCTTAAAGGATGTAGAGCTTATCCTCTTTTGTTCGTACCATATAACATAAGTCAAAAATTTCAAACCATGTGTGAGAAGATAAGAATCTTTGGATAAGGCAACGTATGAAAAGGAAACAACCAAGGCAATGCATAACTTCAATAAGCAAGTTTTTTAATTTTATTAAAAAAAAAAATTTGGGAGACAGGTGGAGTGCATGGATTCTTGGATGGTGTCTAGATTAGCTAGTGGTCAATATTTGTACCCATAATTAAAAATAAGAAAAATTATCAATTGCATCTTCCATTTATTTTTGAACAATATTTGCATTCATGTCTCATACATTGCGAATAACGTATTTTCATCGTATAAATTTTTGTATAATCAAAATAGTTCAATTTTTTAATCTTCATTTAATTATTTTCTGCAAAATTTAAATTAGAGATCGTTTAGTTATTTGAATGTTTCAAATAAATATATAGACTAGGGTTCATGAATATATTATTTGGTACTCACACTGCCTATTTGTTCCACATATCTGGATGCATAAACAATATTTGATCTGAAATTTTTTTTGTAGAAATAATTTTCAAATGTAGAATAAGAATTTTGATTATAAAATATATATGGTGAAGATATGTTAATTGCAAGGGTTTGAAGTATTATCCTTTCTAGTTTTTAGAATTTAAAGCCAGTGTATGTGTTGCCTCCTTACCTAAAACTCATAGAATTTCCATGTAATCACCTGTCATAGGTATGCACTTTTATAGGAAGCAAGCAATCTAATCCACTCTTTATGAAAATGTGTTATATATTCTTTTGTATGCATATATATGCGTGCCAATCAGCTCAAACTTAATAATTACATTTACATGAAACTTCCTTGAAAATATTATCCACAACTTTCTTTTGTTGTTCTTCTTCTTCTCCTTCTCTTTTCTTCCTCAAGATCTATGGTTGCAGGTGGTGAAGAACAAATGCTTCAAGGTCCATGCTCGATCACAAAATATGACAACTACAGAAAAAGGGAAGATAGCTGGATGATCGTGAATGAAGATGATGGTCATGATGATATGTACGACACCACATCCTCGACGTCGATTTCGAATAGATCATCGACGTCTTCATCGGACTTAGTAGATTATGCAGCATCATCATCAACATCATCATCGTGTTCTTCTTCCTTGCATTCGCATGGATCGTTGTTCGACTTGTCAGATCTCATGTCTCACCTACCCATCAAGTAAGAATAAAGAAAAAGAAAACCCATTTCATCAATATAATATATTTCTAATTTCTTTTCCATTAATTTATAACCACGATATGTGGAATTAGGTTTTGGATGTTGGATAGTTTTTCCATTTTCCACACAATACATGAAAGAATAAATATCTAACTAAGAAGCATAAATAATATATAGCTTAGACTAGTCGATCATGGAAGTGTGCTGGTTTTGTTACGCCCAAACTCAAATCCTGTGTCTCATAAATAAAAATAGTTTAGAATATCGTATTGATAGAAATTTTAATTAGCATGATATGTGCAGGAAAGGACTTTCAAAGTACTTTGAAGGCAAGTGCCAATCCTTTACATCTTTCTCAAAGGTCAAGAGCGTTGAAGATCTTGTAAAGAAAGAGTTACCATATAATCAAAGAAAGGCACTAAAAGCAAGCAAGAGCTATGGCGGTGGCTTGGGTTCTTATCGACCGTACACACTTCCGAAGGCCGCCATTTCTAAGAGTAACAAGGCATCGACTACCTCATCTTTTCCGAGCAGATCAAGAAGCAACTCTTTTGGTAATAATAATGCTACAATCCCCCCAATTCCAATAAGAAAGAAGTTTTAACGTATCGTACGTGCGCCGGTCTGCATGTAAAGTTGTAAACTACACAATGTAATGTATACTTGTTAATATTTCTTTTTTTTTTTTTTTTTTTACCTTGGGTGGAAGTATATACTAGTTAATATTTTGAACCTCCTGAAGTTGATCTAGCTACTGGCTTTTACACAGACAAAACGGATATTATATTTGTTCTTCAGATGCGTATATTTCTGCAACTTTTAATTAACATCTAGAATTTAGAAATATAGGCATAGATTCCATGCCTGATTTGAAAAAGAGGAAAGAAGGTTGGGTTAAATCTTAGAAAACTCGACTTGTATAAATAGACATGACAATGGAGCGGTGCGGATTGAGTTTGCTTGCCCTCCTATCTAGGACATCCCCTATATATTTGCCCCAAAAACTTTTTTTGGTGTGTTCCATTAGTTGATAATTTAACAGGATATTATTAATTGTCAGTGGTACTACAGTTTAATTATATATTTCTTCATTTATAAGTGAGAGTCTCAAGTTTAGTTTAAATTTATATCAAGTTCAACACCTAATTATTATGACTGACCGTTGTGTAACTTAGTACATATAATTTCTCTCATAAAACTAGTACATAGTTGTATAATAACCAACTTATTGGTAAGTGGATCCTTTAAAGACATCAAATATACTCATCAATATTTGATTACCATGACCCCTTTGAAGAAGGATAATATATACTTCCCAACGAGAGAACGTACATATCTCACATCTTACAATTTGTATTTGGAGATTGCAAACTCTAAATGGAGTTGGTCTAAACGGCTAACTACCGTTCAATATTAATCCAACGTTGGATGAGAATAAGTGTTTATTTAAATTTCGTTGTTCTACTTTCTCCATTGTTACGAAATTAGATAACAAAATTAGCCTCATTGAGTCTCAAATTTTAGTGCTAGCAAGTATACGAATCGGATGATAGTATAGCTTGAAAGCACAAATATCGTCCCACAAAGATCAAATTTATTCTAAAGTCTTACTAATTAAATTGAAACAAATTGTAATTGAGAAGCTTTAACGGAAAAGAGAGAAAAGTTGAATTAAACTAAAAATGAAGTACGACTTGAAAATAAAATGCATGAAATAATGAAATTAAAAACATAAGAAAAATGAGACATAGGGCATCCAAATTCACTGTAACTCTAAGATCCCACATCGCCCAGGGGAGTGATCCTTATATGTATATTCCCATCCCAACCTAGCACGAGGTCTTTTGGGAGCTCACCGGCTTCGGGTTCCATTGGAACTCCGAAGTTAAGTGAGTGGCGCACGAGAGTACTCCCATGATGGGTGACCCACTGGGAAGTTCTCATGTGAGTTTCCAAAAACAAAACCGTGAGGGCGCGGTCAAGGCCCAAAGCAGTATCGTGCTACGGTGGGGTCGAGCTCGGGATGTGGTGGGGGCCCGGGGCGGGATGTGACAGTAACCATTTCTATTGAATTCCCTTAATAGTTATGCTCAAGTAGTTCTCCAATATTGATGATTGATTTTCCCCAAATTATTCAACGGCCATGGTTGCATCAAAAGTATCCTTACATGTTAACCCTCTATGGCATCTAGATGGATTTAAACAAGTGAGAACTCATTAAACTCTATGGAAATTATTGGAAAATTACATAAACCCTAATTGCATGGCATCTACAAATAGCTGTTTATGGCACCAATTGCAAGAAGCTAAACCCAAGTTAAGTCTGACATCTACTCTAACTTGCATCAAATCAACTTAACTTAAACCTAGATGGTGATCAAGCATCTAAATGAAAATCATGCGCATTACAAATAGCAAAAGATACTCAATATGGAATAAAAGCTTGATAATAACAATGCCACAAGGCAATTAAGTATTCATGATTAGAATACATCTTAGCCCTAGCAAAGAAAAAACTCCAATGTAACTCTTCCGCTTTGCCCTTCCTTGCCGCAGCCCCTATGTAGACTTGTGCGTTTTTTCTAGTTGTTGGCTGACTCACTCAAGAGGAGAATGAATCTCCTTATATTAACACCCACGGCAAGCATTGGAAATACCAAGAAGAAATGGTCAAAAAAATGACCACTAATCCTTGCTCTAATGGACCCTTAAGTCCTTATCAAACAAAATGAAAAATAAACAAAAATAATAAAAACTAATAATTATGTTTCTCCTAAAAGTCATTGAATAGCATCCTATGTCCATTTGATCTCCAAAACTGCTATGTTTCCGCTTCTTATTGTAATGCATATGTCTTGACACAGTTATTTAGGCTCTTGCTCCATTGGAATTACTTTAAGACACCCGAAAAGCTCGTTTTCCACTTCTTTTTCATGTAACTTCGGTATTGAATGCCTATAAAATAAATAGATTTTAGTGCATTTAACCCATTCATATAAACAAAACCCAAAGGAAATATATGATAATAATATATGAAAATACGACCACATCATCTTTCACAGTTGAATTAAGATTAAACAATCAGATGACCACAATTTTTTATTTTTAATTTTTTATTTTTCCAAAAAGGGAGACAAGTGGTGGCAAGTCACGATTATTCACCCATTCCAAGAGTCGGAAAGACCACAATTTTTTTTTTGAATTCTAGGGTCTAGGAGAACAATACAATTACTTCTTATTATAATCCTTTGATAATTTTAATTGGGAGCAACTCCCAAAAAATCAGTATGAACTTCTCCCCAGTCTTATTTATCTCCTAAATTTCTTCATGAAAGAGAGCGCAAAATCAATATTTTGCAGTGTCAATAATATTATTATTTTAATCTTCTAATTATGCTAATATAAACAAATAAATAAATAAAGGCAAAAGCCAAGATTTGCCTTCTTAAGTTTAATCTCTCATTTTTCGAATTCGATACCAAATTAGGTTGCTTATTGTGTGGCTTAGCCGAACTCCCTCTTCCCTTAGTGTAAAAATATCGATGTACTAAAAAAAAGTTTAATCTCTCATTTTCTTTTATTCAAGCGATATGAAAATTATTAACCAAATCTAAAATACAGGAGAGGAACCACTTAATACTACGGTCTAATGATATTCCTCTTCACTTGTAAGTGAGATGTCAAAATTTGAAGCACATTATTGCTAGCCCATTGTGACGCTAAACCCACTCCATTCCCCATAGTGTAAATAATATCATTTCTTAAAAATAAAAATAAAAAAGTTTTAACGAAACACTCCAGATACTATTCACTTTTAATGAAAATGACATTTTTACTCTAAAAAGTCACTCATGGAACACTTACAACATCTTTTTTTGTCTTTTTTATTAAAACTCAAAGTTTTAAAGTTTTTTAATTAGTTTTCCTATAAAAAAAACACACAATAGAAGAATATAAATTTGGGTGTAGAGTAGAGCGGGAATCATTCTGCTTTAGCCTAAATCCATGTGTCATTCCTATATTGGGCCTCTTTAACTATTAGCCCACACATGGCCCAAAAGCCCAAAACATGACAGGCACTTCTAGACGATTTATTACTTGAGTTGGTTGGGTTACGAGCCTCCACACTTCAGTCCCTAAATCACAGAGAAAACAATTCGGCATGGAGTGATTCCAATTTCCACCATTTTCCTTATTTTTCCTGCGATTTCTGTTTGGGTGCTTAGCAAGATCATCCTGTACACTCTTCTTCACCAGGTAAAACACTAAATTTCCAGCTTTTTCCATTCATATTTTTAGTATACTTTCCAGAACCCTAAATAGCAAACCTTAAACCCTAATTCTTCTCTGAAAAAACCCCATTTTCCGCTTTTAGGGTTCGGAAATTCATCGAGTCAATGTAGTTTCTTATATATTCTGATTTAGTTTCATGTTTTATTTTCTGATTCAGTTTTAGTTTAGTTTCTATAAATACACACACGCACACACACACACACGCTTATTGTATGTGTTGGAATTTGAAACCCTAATTGTATATTGATATATAGTGAGAGGAAGCAGTCGATTATTATACACAAAGCGAAATGGCATTGATGAAAATTGGCATCAACGATCTCCCTAACTTCGCATTGGTTGAAATACTTTGTTGACTTCCTAGTGGTAAATTTCTTTCTCAATGCAAGTTTGTGTGCAAGCGTTGGTTCACTCTCATGTCCACCCCTAATTTAATGGACCGCCTTTTGCTTCTCCGAACTGGAAATGGAAAGAAAATGCTGGTGGTACGCACTTTGATAGACTGCAATGGGGAGGAATTCCTAACAGAGTTCAGTCTCCGTCATCTGAAGGGTTAACTCCTATGTTGAAAAGGCTCCAGAATTTCTACGTGCTGAAAAAAGGGCCAGTTGTGGTAGTTACTTACGATGATTTAATTTTGTGCACTGATGGCTGGTATTATCACAATGATTACTACATATGCAATCCGTGCACCATGGAATGGGTTGCTCTTTCTCCACCCCCTACTCACTGCTTCAACATCATGCCAGTGCGAATCATCTGCGACAGGCCACCTAACCATAAGGAAGATGTTTCAAAAAAAAAAAAACTATAAGGAAGACAATCGGAATGGGCATTTTATGCAGCTTAATGATCAGTATAGGTGCAGGGTTGTGAGAATTCTTCCTCCTAATGATGAATTTAACTTTCACCCCGATGGATATTCCAACGATTTCAACGTGGAGATTTTCTCTTCGGAGACTGGAAAATGGAGAGAGTTAGTTGTCTCTTCCCCACAAGGAATTTATTATGATACGCTCGACAATATGGGCTTTGCGTACAATGGAGTGTTATATTGGTCAGGTCACCGTGATGGCTGTTTTCTGGTTCTTGGGTTGTATCCCTTCACTGATTTATGAATGTAGTTTCACTGTATTTGATGTGCCTGTACATGAGAAATTTGTAGTTGAGTGCCCAACAGTGAGTGGAGGGTTGGTGCGGATGAGTGACTATGACAGAGTTACTAGAACCTTGTTTGTTTGGAATTTGAAAGAACAAGATGTTGATTCTATAGTCGAGGGAGATAGCAAATTGTGTTTAAGTAAACAGGAGGTTTATTCCCTAGACCGAAAAATGTGTCCGGATGATGCTGAAGTTGTTCAGAGGCTACCTTTCGACCCAAACAATGAGGATATTTTTTATCTACTGGTGGATGGTGATATTATCTTGTGCAAGATTCGTACAAGAAAGTGGTCAAAGATAGTTGAAAAGATTGCACTCAATGCCCCATTTTACTTCTACCCGTTCGTGCTCCCATGGTGGCCAACACCAGTTCCCAGATTACCACTCCATGCCCCGCCGTGGTGGAGGAGCTAGCAGCTCACCAGCATATGGGACGCATCAAAAGTACTAAACTCTTCTTTATTAAAGTTGGACTATTTAGCTTTGATATATTTTCAGCTAGCAGTAGCTGTGGACTAGTCTTAGTTTGCTGCAGTGACGTGTTTCTTTTTATTACATTTACTTGATCTACTGTGGCTTCCATCTTACGTTTCCGGGTTTGCTGTGAATTTCAATTTATTCTATATTATATGCGCCGGTTATTTACTAAAGCGGAAGTTTCCCATCTATATCAATGTATTAAAAGGCGGAGGCGTAGGCAAGGCGTTCCATGGATCGCAACGTTTAGGTGTAAGGCGAAGATTAATGGGACCTTAAATAATAGGTGTTTGCTGAGAAAAACAGGAGAAACAGGGGACTCTTGTGGGCTTTAAAAATAAAAGAAAAACAGACTTGGCCAAAACACGTCATTTTGGGCCGTCTTTAAAAAAAAAAATTTCCTCTTCGTCTTCCTGATCGTCTTCCTCATGAGGACGCCGCACACCCTACAACCCTAAACCTAGATGACATAGCCTTCAACTTCGATTTACCTAGACAACAGAGCCATTCGACTTTGATTTCGGATCGCAGATGGATCTAGAAATGCTCGCCAACCGCCTTTAAGCGTGCCTCAGCCACCTAGGCTCGCCTTGACCACGCGTAGGCGAGTTTTCATCCACTCCCACTGGGCAGAGGTGTTATCACTCCTGCCCCACCTCAAAGACGCCTAGGTGCACGTCGAGGCGTGTCTTTTAAAACGCTGATCTATATGCACTATGTTTGGTGGGATAGGACTTGCTATATTGGTCATGATGTGTTTTGTACTATGCTTGGTTGGATTGGACTTGCTATTGGTTGTGTTCTGTTTTGGCTTCGATTTTGTTTCCGATTTCTGGTTTCTGGTGCTTATTGAGCTGTAGAGCAGCTCATGGTTTCCTTTGGTTTTTGGTTTGTTTAGCTGCTCTGGTTATGGCCCTCTTGTGGCCCTTGCAATTCATTTTTTTGTCTTCATGATCTTCTAGAAATCAGAGTGCAATTGAGGCTTTCGTAGTTAAGCGCCCGTGTCGTATTTTGTTTTAATTTTTTTTTTTAGCCGAAGGTATAGAATATCATAGGTAGTCAATGGAAGGAAAGAGTGGAGGAGGAAGGATGGAGAAATGGAGAATCCATGAAACCAAATTTTGAAAGAAAAAGCATTTCAACTAGGTTTCGGTTTTTAATTTTGGCTCCACTTACATTTTCTTCCACCTCCATCCCTTCTCTCATTCTTCTCCAATACACCCGTCTTTCTAAAATGATAGAAACAAGATGGTTACCAAACGACCCTTAAGGCGTTAATTGCCGATCCATTTCTTTTATATTCTTTTTAGGTTGGAACTTATCTACTAATTTGGTTGGGTGTGGTTAGCTTCTGCAAAAACTGTCTATAAACTTTGAAAAATATTCAACTTGCGCTCGCATTTATTGCTCTCCTCTTCCCTCTCCGTACACGACACCAACAAGCCTAAATAATGCTCCTTTTCCCGTCGGTCCTTGGACGTCGATTAGGATTGTCGACGACTGGCGTGTGAAAGCGATCGCAAAGTTTGTAGTTTCCAAGTATAACAAGACGGTTCATAATACTAATTATAACTGGGTTTGGAACGGGAAGTAAGTTTTTGAGGTTGTTTTCGACGGTAACGATGTTTGAGCAAACACAGTAGTGGGAGTATTTTTGGGGGATGACAAGACTTACTAAAGATGGGGGTGACATTTTAAATCCTAACAAATTTTGAATTCATGCCGGGTACTATTTTAATTAAGGAACGTGTTATTTATGATCCGGTTTCATCCTAACTCATTATGCTTGATTTGTTTTCAACCGTTCAACTTTGATCCAACGGCTCACATCCCGTTCACATGCACAGTCCGCACTTTAGAAACCACGATGTTTTAAGTAATCTAATCTAAACAACGTAGACAAGAGTATCTGGATTGGAATGCATAGGGAAACAAAGCCTTCTATTAAACTATGAGCCCACATTCCCAAGTAATTATCCAATCAATTCACATAAGGCCCAACAACCCAAATCAAGACACGCAGACGCAGTTACCTGTTGACGGTTTATTTACTTTTGAGTGTCGGTAACATTTTACCCTTCCCGAACTCCACTCTCAGAATCCGTAGCGAAAACAATTTGGCGATCGTGGGACTTTATAATCCTCTTTCTTTATATTTCTTGCGATTTTGCTCAACAAAATCATCCTGTTCAATCTTACTGACCAGGTAAAACCCTAAATTTACAGCTTTCTGTTTAATCCCAGTAGAAATTCTCCACCTTAAATCCCAATTTCTAAATTTACGGTTCATAAATCCATCGAGTTACAGCAGTTTCCTACATATTTTGATTTAATTACATGTTTTATTTTCTGATTCTGCGTATGGTTAATTTATTGCTCAATTTATTGTATTGAAATTTGAAACCCTAATTGTATAACTCTGATTGTATGTATATGTTGTTGTATAGTGAGGGAAGCAGTAGATCGTTATCAGCAAGAGAAAATATGTCGACATTGATGAACATTAGTATTAATAATCTCCCTGAGTCCGTATTGGTTGAAATTCTTTGTCGACTTCCTTGCGCTAATTTCATTTTTCAATGCAAGTGCGTGTGCAAGCGTTGGTTCACTCTCATCTCCAGCCGTTATTTTGTTAACCGCTTTTTGCGTCTGCAAATTGATAACAAAATGCCGGTGGTATGCACTTTGATAAACCACAATGGGGAGGAATTCCTTAACAGAATTCAGCCCTCGTCGGAAGTGATACCTCATATGTTGAAAAGGCTCCAGAGTTTGCACGGTTTGAGTAAAGAGCCAGTTGTGGTAGCCACTTACAATGACTTGATTTTGTGCTCTAATGGCTTGTTTGATCAAACTGAATACTACATATGCAATCCATACACCACGCAATGGGTTGCTCTTCCTCGCCCCCGTTGGGGACGCGACACCATAGGCACCATGCCAGTGGGACTCATCTGCGACAGTCCTTACTATAAGGAGGACGATCAGAATGACATTGTGGAGCTTAACGATAACTATAGGTACAAGGTTGTGAGAATTCTTCACCCTAATGATGAATTTAACTTTGATCCTGATGGATATTTCTACAACTTCAAGGTGGAGATTTTCTCTTCAGAGACAGGCAAATGGAGAGAGTTAGTTGTATCATCCCCACAAGGAATTATATATGACACTCTCGATTATATGGCCTTTGTGTACAATGGAGTTTGTTACTGGTCGGGTCACCGTGATGGCTGTTTTCTGGTTCTTGGTTTGGATCCGTTTGCTGACCAGGAATGTAGTTTCACTGTATTTGATTACCCTGAAGACGAGAATTTTGTAGTGGAGTGCCCAAGCGTATCTCGAGGGGTTGTGCGGATGAGTGACTTTCACAGAGATACCAGAACTTTGTATGTTTGGGATTTGAAAGAAAAAGATGATGATTCTGTGGCTGAGGGCGGTAGCAAATTGTGTTTGAGTAAACAGGAGGTTTATTCCTTAGATCAAGAAATGTGTCCGGATGATGCACAAGTCGTTCAGAGGTTAAATTTCGACCCTAATGACAAGGACATTTTTTATCTAGAGGTGGATGGAGATATCATCATGTGCAACATTCGTACAAGAAAGTGGTCAAAGATTGTGGAAAACACTACACTCGATCGACCTTTGTGGTTCTACTTGTTCGCCCTCCCATGGTGGCCAACACCAATTCCTAGCCTACCACGGCCGGCCTCAGCTAGAGAATAGCGGAGGAACTATGAGGACTATTAAAGTACTAGACTCTTACTTTCAGCTAGCAGTGCACTCGTAGTAGTTTTCCGCGAGGCAACTTGTTTCTTTCAAGAAGTGATGTGTGACCGGCTCACTGTGAATTTCAGTTATTCCATATTATCCGCACTGGTTATTGTTTGCAGGAATGTGAACATCAGTTAAATCTGTGAATCTTGTTGCTTTGTGCTTGTAGAAATTTAGTTTTAGTGCTGCTATTGGTCATGTTCTTCTGCTTTGGCTTTGCTTTTTATTAGTTTGTTATGAATTTGTGGAGCCTTTTTTGGCTTTGCAGTACTTGTGGGGTTCTATACGCTCTTGAAGCGTTTTTGTATAAAACTTATAGTTGTCGGTGTCTTTTAAATGATTTTTATAATTTTGTGGCGTTTAGGAGGAGATATGCTGAAATATTGATGCAAATAAAAACATAGAAATGCAAATGAAGAAGAACCAAATGCTAAAAGAACATATCAGATTCTCTCTCTATACCAACTAGCATCACACAGCTCAAATGCTCCAGACACTCTTCAGTGGAAGAATACTGAACTACAAAACAACCTAGCTGCTGCGTGTTGGGTCAGAAAATGGATTTCCGCCCGGAAATTCATGGAGACGTGACCGTTCGGTTACGAAGTCTGCTTGATCGCCTCAGCGGAGTTGTAACTTCTCCGTCTTTACCACCCGCCTAAATCGACACAGAAAAAGAACAAGAAGAAATAATTAATTTTCATGATGCGAATAAATTAGTTTCAAACACACATCTTTAATTTAAGCAAAAATTTTCTGCAACCGAAAAGTTCTCACCTTTTTCTTCATGGCCATCTGAGGCGTACTAAAGCTTCCGTAGGAATGGGAATCCATGGACGAAAACTCTGACTCCGACGGCTGCACTTGAAAAGAAATTGACTGAGCTCTGCTCCCCAACTTTTTTGAAGAAACAGAATAGTTGTTTTCTTCACTTTCTGTCATCTTATTTTTCATATCACAGGTCCTTAGAGAGCTGCTGACCTCTCCGACCACAAGCTCGCTGAGCAATTCAACTGTCGGTGCCTTGCTATGGAAATACTCCCCGGAAGCTGCCCCGGTTGAGTGCTTGGAAGACAGAGACATCCTTCTGAAAGATGAGTAAACATGCTCAATGCTGTCGTCTCCCCTACTAGGTAATGCCAAGTTGTATCTCTCTGCTGTCACAGGCTCATAATATGGCTTTGAGGGCGGAGAAGAACTGTTCCCGTTGATTTTCTTCTGCTCTATTACCAGAGGTTTAGCAGAAGGACTTGCCATCACACGAGAATCCCTTTTAGTAGCATTCCTTCGCTTAAAGCGAAACACCGACACCAAAGAGGCAACAGAGGCAACAGTCACAGAAAATACGGAAACCCCAATAGCAGCTGCGTAAAATGTTTTCGATTTCATGAAATT